AAATAAAACTGTCTGGTTATGCAGCCCGCACCTGATGACCCAGCGGCCAAACAACAACAATAAATTTGCTCTGCGTAGCAAAGCTTTGCCTCTCCGCCTGCCTTCTGCATAACATAACCTTTATCACTCTCTCGCTCTATTTTGCACAGCTGCCCTTGGCCGTCCGCTAACTGCAGCAAAAATTCTTTAGTCAGTTCGTCTTCGTTTGTCTTCGCCTATGCTTGAAAGCGATCAACTCAAATATTATTTGCATGTAACTATTTTCGGACCAATTCGGGTCATAAATATCCGTAGCGGCAATTCGGCTCGCTTGCGCTGATAAATAATAGAGAACTTCGTGGCTTAATAAATATTGCATTTAATTTATAACGTTTACACCAAGTGCGTATTTTTTGGGTCAAAAAGAAATTGGACAATTCGACAGCTATTGAAAAAGCTCAGTAGCTCAACAAAAACCAAAATTCTGAAATAATATCAGGTTGTTTGGTAATGACATACCGGTTTCTTTATTGATTTTTGACGACGATATTAACATAGTTAGCATTGTCCGATTTTAGTGCTTTATGTACCGTTGTCTTCGATGATTTTCTGCCATTTTGATGGTAACTTGTATATGCCTCTCCTAAAGAATTCCTTGTCCCTACTGGCAAAAAACTCGGCAATTCGATTTTCACAATCCTCCCTTGAACTCAATTTTTGTCCAACGGAAATATTTTGCATGGCCAAAAACAGATGGTAATCGCTTGGGGCAATGTCCGGACTATAAGGTGGATGCATTAACACTTCCCAACCAAGCTCCCGTAGCTTGTGACGCGACACCAAAAATGTATGGGGCCTGGCGTTGTCAACGCCCTTACGATTCACCATGGCTGGCCGCTTCTGTTCAAGTGCAATCTTCAATCTCTCTAGTTGTTCACAGTAGAGGTCAGAATTGATGGTTTGGCCATAGGGCAACACTTCATAATGGATAATTCCTCTGATATCCCACCATACACCCTGAGCCGTCAGTCCTGGCTTTGCCACCGTTTGAGACGACTCACCGTGCTTCGACCAGGATCTTTTACGCTTTATGTTGTCATATGTGATCCATTTTTCATCACCAGTGACTAACCGATCCAGAAATGAGTCGAATTTGTTACGGTGCAACAAAGATTCGCAGATTAATACACGGTTGAAAAGGGTTTTTTGGGATAACTTATGAAGCACCCTTTCATCGAGCTTTTTTGTTAAAGTTTTCGACTTTAAATGCCCATGGACTGTTTTCGTGCTTAGTTGCAGCTCCTCTGCGATGGTTCTAATAGTCACATGACGATCTCGATCCACTATTTCCATGATTTTATCCGTATCAACGGTCACTGGTCGTCAGGAAGGCTTGGGTGTTTCGGTATCAAAATTGCCACTTCGGAATCGCCTAAACAACTGTACGGCGATTTGAATCGAAAGTTTGTTATCTCCAAAGACAGCAAAAATCTGTCGGCGAGATTCCGCAGCAGTTTTCCCCTGTGCGAAATAAATGTTAAAAACTGCTCGAATTTCTGCGTTTGTGAACTCCATTTCAATCGATTGTAACTTTTTAACGTGGAAGCTCATGTAAACAATCTATATATCATTTTAAAGGTATACCAATACCTTTCAAACGAGATACTACATTGCCATGTACGATTATATTTGACTTCACAAGCGAAGTGCGAAATTTGAATGTAAAAACCGGTATGTCATTACCAAACAACCTAATACATACACTGAGTCACAAAAGCATTCGTTGCAAAGGAGGTTATGGGGAAAATGTCAATATTAACTAACAGCTTAAAAATGTGAAAAACTGGATTACTATCCCAAAGATATATGTATATTTAGTTGAGCATATGACGAAAAAAAAACGTACAGAAAACGTTTTCAATAACAAGCTACAGTCAAATATATACAACTAAAACAAATTTGATGCTCACAAAAGAATTAGTTTTTAATAATTTCTTTTTTTTTGTATTCTTTCGTTTTTTTATGGGTTAGTGAATTTTTTTGTCAGGATTCTGGTTGAGATTACATTTTAAAATTAAGTTCATGGATAAGCACAACATTTAAGCGTCATTGTGGGTCGTAATTAAATACAAAATGCCGAAAGGTACGGAGTCAAAACAGAAGAAAAATATTTTACACCCACACAATGAGGGTTGATCCTTTAAATATATTTCTGGTATGTTTGATAATAGTCCTTTTACCATAATAAGCGTAGTTTTTCTACTGAAATCAAGGAATTCCGTGGAAAATTAGCCGCGCTTTGGCCGAATACAGTAATTGACAATCGGAGAAGATAAGACAATTCTTAAAAAAAACAGGTAAAACATACATTTATAGGCTGCAGAAATTAACACCGCCATGACCACATCCTAAGGAACAAATGTATCCACTTAAACTATCGGAACAGGTCCTAGAAGCCATGATTTTTATGGTAGAAGCCTAAAAATAATATCCGTGCTTTCACCTATAAAATTGTCGGAGCTATTTTCTTTGATAAAACGTATTTGTACCCAACTTTAGAGTATGTATTATGAGCAAGTAATATTGAGTAAAGAAGATTTTTCAATGTTTTGGGGTCGGATGGAGAAGGAATAGTTTTCCGCAAGCCCGGAAAAGCCCTCAAGTTAAAAAATGATTCAACAACAGTAAAGCCCGTTAGAGGTTCTGGTCTAGTTAGGGATATCTGTCCGCCCCAGGAGTTGGAAATATGGTATTTTTAGACAGGATAATAATTGCTGATATATTTAAATATATTTAGGTGTAATTTACTCTCCAGTGCCACCCTAATGGCTCCACAACGCGACAAGTTCGATTTCCACCAGTACAATAGCGCCAAACAAACGACTTTGAAAGTCAAGTTGTGGGCGTTGTACTATTGAAACCAGACTTAAACTCCTTCACAGAGCCCAGACGTTAGCCCTACTGAAAATCTCGAACACCATCTTAAGCTAAACTTCCAGGAACATCGGATTTCTTCCGAAAAATGAACTCAAAGACATAATGCGGAAAAAATGGTCCAGCAAGTCAGCACTTTCCACGTCACCGCAGATTAGGTTGTAAATTAATGTAATACCTAGCATCGTTCTACGATTAGATAAAGAGGCTAAGTTAATTAGTAGGAGTCTAGTATACGTCATTAACCTCTGGTTTGCATCCCAGTTTACTGACTAGAAAGCAGCAATGCATTAAAGATTTACACAAGTGAGAGCAAAAGACGACTATATGGCACTTCTAATGCAACGCTTTAATGCTTGGTCAATGTATTAGACATAAAAATCGATAGATCGACATAATTTATACACATACATAACTCTCCAAAAACAGCAGCCTCGGCCAAAACGGTAAAACTTCTCTAAATTCTTTATTTTCAATATAGTCATATCAGGAAGTAGTCCAATTGATCAACATTGACAGAATTTAGCATATTCTAAAACATACATACCTCGAAATATGTTAATGAGAATTCGAGAAATCGAGCTTTTTTATACTTTTGCAGGGTATTCTAATTTCAGTCAGAATTTTGCAACGCAGTGAAGGAGACCTTGCCGACCTTATAAAGTATATATATTCTTTACCAGCATCAACAGCCGAGTCGATCTAGCCATGTTCGTCTGTCCGTCCGCCCGTCTGTCTGTTTCTACGCAATCTAGTCCGTCATAATCGACAAATTTTATAAAAAAAATTCTGACCTGGCTGTTTATCAACATATTTTTAACTATTACGTATTTCGATTTACCAATTGAGTATGATATTCTAGAGTCTAGAATCTAGACACTTGAATAATACATTGGATTAAAATCTTTCATGTTTCGCATGCATTTCGCGTGCAAATGCCTAACATTTTTAAAATTTTCTTGAAAACTAACAATTGTCCAAAATCGATCTTAGCACCAATTATGTGCTTAACAAGAGCCATCATTTTGTTAAATTAAGGTATTGAATATTTTTCTTATTAGTATCCGACATAACCTCCTTTACTGTGAACAACTTTCGCTTTTCGATTTGGCATTCCATCATGCAAACTCAGACGAGGTTTCTTCAGCTTTAAAATTTTATAATTCGTTGGTTATAATTCGACGTTTTAAGTTTCCCCACAAAGTTTAGGTTAGGTTTAGAATAGGAGACTGACTTAAGGGGGGGATATACATGTAAACCAAAATTTTTTGGGCAAATTTTTTTTTTGGTTTAAAAAATAGTTTATTATTTAAAGAATATAGTGTGTAAGTTTCATTATCGAATTCCAACTCTAAGTGCCTCAAATCAAGTATACACGCAAGGTTCACAAGTGTTAACGTGGGCGCATCAAAAACTTTAAACGTCTTTTACTCAGCTTCTAATTTTTGCATTTCTACCTATGCTATGGACACGATTCACAAAAAACTACGTAACATATCGGAGTGAATCAAAAATTATTATGATCAGCATAAAATTATCTTCTATTTGAACCTACATGGTTGTTATAAAACTGAGTATTACTATTTTTTAAGATGGTGGGAAGTGAAAACTGATCACCTGAAAATGACATTTTTTCCTTCAAATCAAAATGTATTTTTTTTGTCTTGATTTCTTTTTGGTTTTTTAGGTTCAAATAGAAGATAAAGGTGTAATGAATACAAAAAAATTTAGTTTACGGATTTCGGACAGGAATTACGAGCTCTATCGTGTCCATAGCACGGCAACTTAAAGCTCGAGGCGCTACGGCATATGTTCCATAAGTCCGCCATTTTGTAAAATATTGTTTATAACTAATTTTTTTAATCATCTCTGATTCTACTTTTAACTATATCCAAAGTTTCACGACGATTGCTTGACTATTTCTTATAAAAACAAAATTCACGAAAAATGGCCAAATTTTGACCGCTTACATGTATATCCCCCCTTAACCAGCTCATAACAGTAGGTATTAACTACTTTATTTTGAATGCATTGACAAATTAAAAATACATTTTGCTTTAAAAATAAAGCATATTGTTAAAACTTACCTATCTTTTGTGGCGTATTGAAAACTGTTGGTCGGAAACTGTAAATTCCCTGCAGTAACTCAGGGTAAGCACTAATGTTAGTTCCAGATGACTGAATAGTGTAATGTGATTTTAGTTCACTGCAACAGATTGCTATAATAACAACAATTAACTGTTAAAAAAAACTTACATATTGTCGGAGTTTGTTTTTTCAATGGCATTTACTAATTGTCGTACGAGATTTTCATCACGTACTGACAGCAAGTTGCTGGATTCATTGGCCACTAAAGCATGAAATAGAAGGGACTTATTTAAGGAAGCGGCACTTTGAAGTGAATCCGAGACTGGTAATTCGCTAAGCACTTGGATATAAAATGAAAATATTAACGATCATAACTGGTATTTAATGTTTTTCATGCACTACTTACAATCAGAAGTGCTGGTTAAACCAGCTAGCGTCGTCACAGGCACGCTAGGCATGTCGCGGTCTCCCATCTTAATTGATAGACCAAATCGATAGTCAATGAAAATTTTATTGATACCGCAATTTTATTATTGTTTAAGATATGAAAACACTGTCGTACTTATCCAACAAGTTCAAAAGTTTACAATATATAGACAAGTGTATGCACATCTTTATATGTACGTTTTGAACTATGTGTACATATGTAAATATGTTTTTCTATTTATTCAACATTTCTAGAAAAAAAACTTTAACTGTTTCAAAACTGAATCAGAATAATATGTACATATACATACATTAAAAAATTAAATTATCATAACATTTGACGTTTACCAATCCTATCTTCCTATGTAGTCTTGTTTGTTTCCTAATGCAATGTTTGTTGACAATTCCAACGTACATATGTATGAATACTTTTTATTATGTGAAAGCATTTATATATTTAAACGTTCTTTTATCTACGGAAGCCTAATAAGCCTCGCAATTTCCACTAAAAGCATATTATACGGCCCACTTCAGTTCACAAAGACTCACAGATGTAAAACAGTACTTTTAGATTCCAGATTTGTTGTTATATTAGTTTACTGTCGCAATCGAAACAACAAGAAAAGAAACACAGTTTTTTTTACATTTCTACATAAACAATTATACAGTCAGTTGTTGAGGTGCATCGAGTATGTCAATAATAAAGTACGGTACGGAGAGGGTAAAACTGGTTTAGGACACAGAAGGATTTATTCTTCTGATGTGATGTATTACCAAGTAGTTTGGCATTTTTGAAAAATATTGACATAATAATGGGTCTTCCCACACACCGTCAAAGCGCATCCACAGTCCGTTGAACAAGCAGTCCATTAGTTTTGCCGTTCCGAAATTTCTCAAATGGACCGGCATCAGAGTGTATCTAAATTTAACGACCGTTTGTTGGCGGTAGTGAGGTGATAGTTTTTCGGTGCAACTCTGATTTCATCTTCTTTACAGTGAAAATTTGACCATTCACTACGAAAATGTAAACAAACTAAGCGAGGAACAAATGAAAAATGGAATTTAAAATGTGGCGCCAAAGCTACAAGCATGCCCAAAATAGTTGTTGCCCCAAAGTATCCCCAATTGCTACTATTTAATGAAAATAAAAACTACCACTACCTCATTTTATAGATTTTGGAAGTCTTTGCATTTGTTAAAGAAAAATCATTAGAGAAACTCAAATATTTTTATAAAAAATCGCCCCAACTTCGACTGATTAAAACAAATGAAATTGAGACGTTCCGTTTCTACTTTGACGTACATGTCGAAACAGTACTGTTGAAACATCATCAATCGATACGCATAAAAATTCATAGAACTCACCATCTTATTCCTATCTTCTCCTAAAATTTGAATTCAAACTTAGTTGATTAATCAAAAAGAAGTGATGATTGTAAACAAACCTGTCGTTGGATTGACCATCTTTATGTTGAAGTGCTACCCATCTTCTCCACGACAGAACATCAACGGGTATTGAAGAGGATCATATGACCGATGAGTCTCATAAACTCGCTGCAATTGGCCGTTATCCCGACGCTTAAGAACAATATCGCCTGATTCCACATTCTCGCCAACAATCACCATAGTGGGAACATTAAATTGTTTTTCATGACTACCAATGGGTCTTTTGCCAGCCCTGATAATGACGTTTAGTTACAGTAAAAATTGCACAGTGGTGATTTAATTCAACTGCTGAATCACCAATGAAATAGATCTGAAGGAATTTATGATCTTTGTTTTGTGGTGGTAACAAAGCGCCCGATCGGTGGTAAATTTGCCCTTGAACCTGAATTTTGGGATGCAATTTCGAAAAAATGTGACTTGTTCATTTTGATAATACAGAGACGTCATTACCTTATAACTTGGATTGTAGCCTGATTGGTAAACAACCTTGGCTCCAAATGACGTCATTTGAAAGCATCCGTTATATTTTTGTGCAAGCTTTATACTGTCTTTCCACACAGCGCATTTGTAAGGAACGTTTGGGATTTTTAAAAAAAGTGAAACTCATGTTCCCACACACCGTCAAAGCACATTCACCATCCGAACATCTGATCGATCAGCTGTGGCTCATGAAAACGTAAACAAAGACTGTCGAATTGGCAGTTGCAAATTTGAAATGGAGCATTTACCAACAATTTTGGCTGTTGTACAAAAGCAAAAGGCACAGATTGCGACCGAATTTATCCGCACTAAATTTAAATGAATTAAATGACAAGGAATTTTAGTTTTCTAATGATTTTTCTCTAACAAAGAGCAAGTTCCCCGAAGAGTGTCTATAGGTGGTTTGGGCATCCAAAATCTTCAAAATAAGGTAGAGGCAGGCGGTTTATATTAAATAGTAACAATTGGGGACATCTTGGGGCAAGAATATACAGAAAAAACGCCAACAACTATTTTGGGCATGCTTGTAGCTTTGGCGCCACATTTTAAATTCCATTCTCATTTGTTCCTCGCCAAGTGTGTATTCACTTTCGTAGTGATGGTCAAATTTTCAGAGTTGCACCGAAAAACTATCGCCTAACTATCGCCAAACAAACCGTGGTTAGATTTTAATGTGTTTGAAACGGCAAAACCTTATGGACAGTTTGTTCAACGGACGGTGAATGTGCTTTGACGGTGTGTGGGAAGATCCTATTAGGAAGCTGTTTGATTGAGCTGAACTTCCATATAGTAGCGAATACAATGGCTCTGGTGGATGAGCCAAAACGGGCAATTTAATTTTGCCACTTGCACAGCATAAGCTGGGGGTTTCAGTGCATTGCAATACTGATATACGACAGACAATGAACCAATAACAACGCAGCTAAGATCTTTGTAGTGTGTTTCAGAATTGTATGCAAATGCAGAGCGATTCAGGTTTTTATTTGCGGTTCGTCTTCCTCTATTATTTTGTCGGGCTTGATGTGGTCTTTGTGCATCGCGAAGCTGTGCCAACTAACCCATTTTTAGTTTTTCTAATGATTTTTTTCTAACAAAGAGCAAGTTCCCCAAAAAGTGTGTATAGTTGGTATAGGCATCCAAAATAGGGTAGAGGTAGGCGGTTTATATTAAATAGTAACAATTAGGGACATATTGGGGCAAAAATATACAGAAAAACACCAACAACTACTTTGGGCATGTTTGTAGCTTTGGCGCCACATTTTAAATTTCATTTTTAAATTATTCCTCGCCAACTTCGTTTACATTTTTCGTAGTGCTGGTCAAATTTTAACTGTTAAGAAGAAGATATCAGAGTTGCACCGAAAAACTATCGCCTAACTATCCCCAAACAAATGGTCGTTAAATTTAGATGCGCTTTGATGCCGGTCCATTTGAGAAAATTCGAAACGGCAAAACCTTATGGACCGTTTGTTTAACGGACGGTGGATGCGCTTTGACGGTGTGTGAGAAGATCATATAAAGCAGTATTTTGTTACCGTTCCAAAAATGGTAAATAGTATGTGCCGCAGATTATTTTGATAATTCAAATTATAACAATTCTTTGATTGTACACACTTGTTTTATTTATTATATTTCTCCACGCCTTGGACTTTTGTCAGCGGAACTGAATTGCCGATTGTCAATATTGGAGGCGTATTTCAAATAAGTCTTGTCGGTACAAAACGACATCGAGCAGCAAGATGTGGAAGAGCAGCAACGAGATGTTCGTGGAGAGTTGGAAGACATGTTTGTCAGCATCAAGGAGCAACTCGGCCCTGATGTTCACAATACATCTGGAAATGATACGACTCTCAGTGTGTTCAACACGTCATCTATCAAACTACCCAGACTCGCATTACCTACATTTGATGGCAAGTACTCGGAATATCAAAACTTTTTTACGTCATTTAAACAAGTTGTAGATGCTCATGCTTTGTTATCCCCAATCGAGAAATTTAATCAGTTGCTAAATTGTCTACGTGGATCAGCTCTTGAAACGGTTAAGGCGTTCCAAGTTACACCTGAAAACTACGCAAATGCTCTCGAGCGTCTAAGGAGTCGTTATGACAACCCAACCCTGGTTTTTCTGGACAATATATCGTCGCTATTCAATTTGCCAAAGGTTGCGAAATCCAATAGCCAAACGTTGCGCAGCCTTATTGACAATGCAACTTCATTGTTTAACTCGTTGTTATCTCTCGGAAGTGAAACCCAAATTGTTCAGGCGATGTTCATCTCAATCGTAATGAATGAAGTCGATCAGGAGACGAAGAGAAAGTGGAATGAATCTTTAGATTACGGAACTCTGCCGTCCTGGCCCAAATGCGTTGAGGTCGTAGAGCGTCACTGCCAATATCTAGAAGCTCTTAGCAATGCTAACGGTGATCCTAATGCGACCCAGCAGATTGCCACTAAACAACGTCCTCCACAGCAGCATCCTGGGTTTACTTTTTCTTGCTCCACACCAATATGCCATGTTTGTTCCAGTAGCGAACACAAAACATTTATATGTTCCCAACTTAGTAACACTTCTGTCGATCATCGCTTTCAAATCATAAAAAAATTGGGTCTCTGTATTAATTGTTTCGGCAAAGGTCACCACGTGGCCAAATGCCCGTCGACACAGAAGTGCCGAATCTGTTCCCAATCCCATCACACTATGTTGCATCGAGAAGTCGTTCGAGCCACTCCTTCGCCACCATTGCCTTCTCAACCTCAGTCAAATGCTCCGCAGATATCGAATGCAGTTATTCACACTCACAGGGAGACTCAAGTGAATCGTGTAATATTGGCCACGGCATTGGTTCTGGTTAAGGATGCCTCAGGTTGTTACAAGATAGGTCGCGCTCTGCTAGACTCGTGCTCACAAGTTAACTTTATGTCTGATGAGTTTGCTCAAGCGCTTCGCATACCACGTATCAAGCGCCACATGGAAATACGCAGCATTGGAGAATCTCAAACGCAGATAAAGCATCGCGCATCTACCACAATCAAATCACGCTTTAACGCATTAGAATTGTCGCTAGATTTTTGCATCACATCGCATATCGCATACAACCCAGATTCAGATATAGACATATCATCATGGCAGTTACCTCAAAACACGCCCCTCGCTGACGATAAATTCAATAAGTCTCGTCGAATTGATTTGCTACTTGGAACAGAAACATTCTTCGAAATCGTATCTGTTGGTCAAATTAAGCTCGGTCCCCACCTGCCAATTCTCCAAAAAACGTTGTTAGGATGGATAATCTCTGGTCGTTGCCAAACCAAGCCCACTATAGTTCACAGCTACTCATTAACTCTGGAGGATGCTATCTGTTAACCGAAACGTCGAGCGATTGTGGAAAGTTGAAGATGTTAGCAAGTCGGCTGACATATACACACCAGAGCAGCGCAAATGTGAGGAGAAATTCGTCGACTCTGTTCGCCGTGACGATGATGGCCACATAGGGGTTCGGCTGCCATTTAAAACGGATCCCAGCTTGCTTGGCAACTCGTATGAAACTGCACGAAGACGATTTCAAGCGCTTGAACGCCGACTCAGTCGCTCAGCGGATATAAGGTCGAAATACATAGACTTCATGCAGGAATTTCAAACTCTGGGACATATGAGTTTAGTAGAGATGCCTCAACTCAATGTGCCACACTTTTATATATCTCATCATTGTGTGCTCAAGCCAACGAGTACGTCAACGAAACTAAGAGTTGTCTTCGACGCATCCTGTCAGACAACGAGTCAGAAATCGATAAGTGATTTGCTCATGGTCGGGCCAACAATTCAACCCGATCTATATACGCTGCTTTTACGCTTCCGCACATATCGCTACGTGATCACGGCTGACGTGGTTAAGATGTTTAGACAAGTCCTCGTCGACGCGGATGACCGTAAGTTTCAGTACATTCTCTGGAGGAGCAACCCCGTAGAGCCAGTACGCACCTTCGAACTTAACACTGTAACTTATGGGACCGCAACGGCACCATACCTAGCCATACGAAACATGATATATCTGGCGGATCAATATTCGAACAAGTTCAAGGTCGGTGCTGATGCCATTAAAACCTCGTTTTATGTTGATGATTTCCTTTGCGGAGCGGACACAGTGGACGGTCTCGCTCGAATCAAGGCAGAGGTCTCCGAAATTCTTAGTAGTGGCGAATTTGAGATTGCAAAATGGCACTCAAATTACACTAAGTTCGTCGACGATCGCACTATTAAGGATTTGAATTTAGAAGAAGATTCAGTGACCAGCACGTTAGGTTTGAAATGGGATCAACGATACGATATATTCAAATTCGCATTTGTACCAAAACACACATCGGAAACCGTCTCAAAACGGACAATACTCTCGATAGCCTCATCATTATTTGACCCATTGGGCTTAGTCACGCGAATAATAATAGTTGCTAAAATCATTCTGCAGGAACTATGGCTGCTCAAGTTAGACTGGGATGAATCGGTGCCGGAAAATCTTCATGCAGCATGGACATCGTTTCTCTCATCACTTTCGTCGTTGGAATCGCTGTCAATACCACGCCTTTGCTTACAGCCGAGTCTCCGGAGTCTACAGTTACATGGATTCTGCGACGCCTCGATCAGAGCCTATGGCTGCTGTATATATGCACGTACAGTTGGGGCAGATGACAGCATTAAGATACGACTCATAACATCGAAATCCAGAGTCGCTCCCACTAGGAAATTGTCGCTACCAAAGTTGGAGTTATGTGGAGCGCACTTGTTATCAAACCTATTACGCAAGACACAGAAGATATTTGCAGACTACCAACCAACGGTATTCTTATGGAGTGATTCTCAGATTGTTCTTCACTGGATTCAACAACATTCGGCTACACTTTCTACGTTTGTCGGAAATCGTATTTCAACGCGTGCGCGTCGCTGACGTGCGCACCGCTAAGGGAGTCTACCGACGCCCCATACATAAACTCGCTCTCCTACCTGTCTCTTGAAAGTTGGCTTCAGACTTTCAATGGGGCCGGGATGTTGGGTCAAACCCAATTGGATTAAATAGCCAAGACACAACCCAGCTTATCTTACGTTTAGGCACATTTGCGAGCGAATGCAGCTGATCTCTCTGGCTGCGCTGGAGAGGCTTTTTTTTATGATTCGATTTTTATCTTGGCTCTGGCCACTCTTGTAATTAACTCTTGTCAAAATAACTGAACTGAACTGATTAATGAAATATAAATTAATGTCACCTCCTAATAATAATAAATAAATATTCAAGAACAAGCTTTTGAATCAAACAATACTGTTCGTATTAATTCACCACTGTGCGTGTGTACTGGAAGATGAAGAGGAATTGAAAAGGGAGCGACATGAGTTGTTGGGGCAGTCTTGTTGTGAAATCCAATCATCACACCACGCACCAGAAATCTGTTCGCCGTAAGTTCAGTTGACGTCTCAGATAATAAATCTTCTAATACAATATTAGTAGATCTTTCAATTTTTGCAGCTAATGCATTAGCCAATGCATTAAAACTTGCATTAGAAATGCCATATAGTCGTCTTGCTCGTACTTTAGGAAACTCTATGCAGCTGTCAAATCTTTAATGAAATCTCTAATTAATGCGGTAGTGTCGTAATACCATTATACATCAAAACAAACCAAAAATCACGATGATATTTATTAGGGACTTTCTAGTTTCCACTTCCGCAAAATTTATTCGGATTTCCCTGACCTGTTCTAGTGTTCACTTCCGAAAAATTCTAACGGATTCGTATTTCCCTCTGTTAAGTCTCTTATAATTTGCAGGCGAAACGTTCGGAATCTTTTCGTGTGCCATTTGGCCGGCGGATTCAAATCCGCAAAATCAGAAATTAATTATTTTAAAATACAATACGATTATGTAAATTGTTGGAACATTGCCATGTTTAGCTTTATGACAACTTGTATGTATAGCAGCTGATAGAGCTTTTTCTATATTACTCTTCTGTATTAGTTCTAAGCTTTACTTGATTCACTACATTAAATTACTCTAACCTGAATAGACGTTGGTCTCTTATTTCGGTCCCTACAACCAACGCGCGGTAACTCTTAAACAAGTTATGGGCCCAGTTCGTGTTAACTACGGAACAATGTCTCACGGAATGATGAACATTGAAAAATTGTCGGGCGACAACTACGAGAGTTGGTCACTTCAAATGAAAAGTCTTCTAGTTACCTCCGAGATGTGAAAGTATGTTATAGGAAGTATGGAGCCCAAAATGACGGCTACAGAAAAATTGTTATGGCCGAGATGATGAGAAGGCTTTAGCGACGATAATCATGTGCGTAAAGCCAAGTGAACTCATTCATATCAGAACCTGTAAAACCGCACAAGGAGCATGAACAAATTGCACGAAATATATTTTGCCCATGGACCAGCCAGGAAAGTCAGTCTGTTTAAGCAGTTGATAAAGTTTCAAATTAAACGCACTGATGGGATGTCTCCGCAAGTCACCAAATTTTGTTCGATCGCTCAGAATCTCAACGAAATTGATGTACAAGTTCCAGAAGAGTTACGCTCCATTTTACTGCTATGTAGTTTGCCGGACGACATGGAAAATTTTGTTTTTGTTGTTGCAATGGAATGCAGAGATCAGCTACCTACCCTAAGTCAGCTGAAGCTCAGAATATTGGAAGAGGTATCACGAAGAGATGATAGAGAGACTGGAAATCCTAGCGGAACTGAGCAAGTGTTTTCGGCAAAGGGCGCAAAGAAGACAACGGATTACGATCGAAGGCAAAAGGTAAAATGTTATGCATGCGGTAAACGTGGTCACAGGAAATCTCAATGCAAAAGAGAGAGAGAGGCAAACGCAGCAATGAGTGCGTATATTGGATTGGATTTTGGACAGTGTAGCTTCTTCTCACATGTGCAGAGAGAGATCATATTTCGAAAATCTAAGAGAGAGCAATGATAGCATTACGATGGCATCAGGCGATAAGGTTAAAGCACAAGGCGTAGGAGACGTAAAAATAAAATCACAATTTTGCAGTGACATCTTCCGGAATTAAACCGCAATTTTTTATCTGTTGGTAAAATAATTAGTTATGCTCAGTAAAATTTACAAATAAAATGGCTTGTGTTATTAAAGACAAAAATGAGAAATTGTTTACAGCGAAGTTGGATGCCGGTATTTTCATGGCCAGAGTGTCGAGCAAATGTTAACAAAATATTTACAGTGTGCAGGCATAAGAAACGTCAAAATTTGAAATTTGGCACGGCAGATTTGGAGATTTACGAGAAATCTCAAGCAAAAGTATAGTTCGCGGATTGGAATTTAAAAGTTCAAGAGTGTTACGGAACTGCATATTCCCTGGGCAATGCCGGACTAGCTCAGTGGATGCCCAGGGGGGGTAGGAACCTATGCCCGCAGTCCGTACAACGAAACCCCGATTAATCGGACGTCTCAAATAAAACTCCTCACTAACAAATAACACATCTCTAACAAATAAAAGTAAACAAACCAAAAATGACGACTTTTGCGGAATGGTGGCATAGATGGAGTCGCCACGACGCTCCCGCCCAACCTGTGGTGCCTCCGGTGTGTCTAGGGGCACCACCCATCTCCGGCGGACCGGAGTCTAATCCAGGCGGCTTGACGGCCGGCCCATCTCCCCAGGTAAATACTTTTTACTCACTGTTCATTGTGTTTAATACTTTATAAATTTTAGGTACTTAAGGCTAACATTGGCAGAGTACAATAGAGTTCCTATGGGACTCATTCCCGGCGAAACGTCACCTTAGCCCGGGATGCGCTCGCGCGAAGACTGCGGCAGCGGAGAAGAAGCGGCGGTCCGCTTAAGGAAAAAGCCACAAACTGGCTGGAGAGGTTCTCTAGGTTCCCTTTTTCCTACCTACTATCCCTTCTGGAGCTCCAAGAGAAATAAAGGGGATGGGTAAATATGTATAAAATGTCTTCAGTGAATATCCAACTTCTTCTAAGCCGTTCCTTAATTCTGCAGAACTCGTGTTGCACAAATCCCTGACCCAAGTTAAGAGACGCGGAGAAACAAGCACATGGAACTAATTAGAGTAAGACAAATAAATTAGCCTAACAAAAACAACAGCACAATAAATAATTAATTCTATTTCAGCAACTAGAAGTCACTATCGGCGACCCGCAAATGGTTTCAGTGGCGTGAGTGGCCAGAAATCGCGGCAACTGATGGCGACGGCAAGCCCGAGGAAAGTAGGGACCGTCGGAGCCACGGCCACGTCGTTTTGGAGAAGGGGCAGAGCCAATCAACGTCCCAAATATGGGTACGAAAACCTGCCGGTTCCGGACGGCGCTTAACGGAACGGACTCACCGGATTCCTGTTTAGCTTGATAGATGGCTCCGTCAACGGCTGCTAAGAGGCTCGTTTGAAAATTTCCCTCACTCTTCTCCAGAATATATCCTCCCCAGAACGTCGGCGGCGGGTAAGATTCAACATATAATTCCACAATTTTTCAATAAAGATGGCCGTGGCCAGCGATTCATTCACTGCCACGGTTCTACAGGTTTTTCCTAGCCGCCCAGGAGATTAGCTGCTTTTACATCGACTTTTCGTTGCTACTGCCGGCTTCCATGTTGCCTATCCCTCCCTATATAGGCTTCGGCCTGTCACCCGAGTTCGGACCTAGGAACCGTTCTTTCTTCAGTGCAACGGCCGAGGCCAAGGGTAAAAACCCTTTCTCTTAATTCCCTTAACCTAAGCCCGTTACCTATTCCCGGTTCGCTCTTTCAAATCCCTGCCCTACCCCCCTCCCCCCCCTGGTCATAAGATCCTACCTCTATCGATCTATCGACAGTCCTCCAGCCCATTCCGATTGAAAATGCAACAAGAGACTTTGATTGTGTAACATGTAAGATAACGAGGAAACCATTCGATCGGTTCGATGGAAACTGGAACTAATACATACGGATATTGCGATCTATGTAATAACGTTTATCGACGATTATACAAAATATGTTTGGACATATTTTTTGGCTAGTTGACCCAAGTTTTTTCCACGAAACGAAATGCTGATGGAAGCATTGAAAAATGTCGCGGAACGAATTAGGGCTATCGATGGTTCGCCAGGTTTCAGTAGGGCCGTAAAGGAGTCAGTATTTATTGTGTCAGGATTTCGGAATGAAAGTAATCGGGCACACTAATTTAGGCAAATGCAAGCTATTGCATTTGCAACAAGAAAGGAAGCTAACTTCGGCACGCCGAAGTTTGTATACCCTTGCAGAATGGTTTCGATGTTTATATTATAGATTTAAATGCTGAAAACGCTCACAAAACAGAGTTTCATTACATTTTACCTATACTTATTATGTTTATAGTTTGACAGTTACAGTTTTACATTCCCAACTTTATATATTTTATACATTTACCGATCGCTTCTATGGCAGCTATAAGATATAGTTGTCCGATTTTTATGAAATTTATACCAAAATTCTAGAATAATAAAAAAAGCTTATATCTCAGAGTAGATAAACATACGTTGAAAAACAACGAAGCTATAATTTTTTTCCTATTTATTTCTTGATCGTTCCTATGGCAGCTATATCATATAGTCGTCCGATTTTCATAAAATTTTTACAAAAATTCTGAAATAATATAAAATGGCAATATCTAAAAAATTGTGCAAAAATGTTGAAAAACAGCAAAGTTATAATTTTTTTTCTAAAAATATATCGAACATTTGTATGGCAGCTATATGATATAGTCGTCCGATCCGGCCCGTCCCGACATATATAGCAGTGAGAGCATATAGAAGACTATATGCAAAGTTTCATTCAGATAGCTTTAAAACTGAGGGACTAGTTTGCGTAGAAACAGACAGACGGACAGACAGACAGACGGACAGACAGACAGACGGACAGACGGACAGACGGACATGGCTAGATCGACTCGGCTGTTGATGCTGATCAAGAATATATATACTTTATAGGGTCGGAAACGTCTCCTTCACTGCGTTGCAAACTTCTGACTGAAATTATAATACCCTGCAAGGGTATAAAAATCCGCAATTGGCGGATGAATTTACACCGATTTGCGCCATCACAGAGAGCGGTATGTAAGCTAAGGAAAACTGTATTGCAGGTTAATACACACAGCGCATTTGTGAGGAACGTTTGGGATTTTTAAAAAAAGTGAAGCTCGTGTTCCCACACACCGTCAAAGCACATTCAAAATCCGAACATCTGATCGATCAGCTGTGGCTCATGAAAACGTAAACAAAGACTGTCGAATTGGCAGTTGCAAATTTGAAATGGAGCATTTACCAACTATTTTGGCTGTTGTACAACAGCAAAAAGCACAGATTGCGTCAGAATTTATCCGCACTAAATTTAAATGAATTAAATGACAAGGAACAACTATTTTGGGCATGCTTGTAGCTTTGGCGCCACATTTTAAATTCCATACCTCATTTGTTCCTTGCCAAGTGTGTATACACTTTCGTACTGATGGTCTAATTTTCAGAGTTGCACCGAAAAACTATCGCCTAACTATCGCCAAACAAACCGTGGTTAGATTTTAATGTGTTCTAACGGCGGTCCATTTGGGAAAATTCGGAACGGCAAAACCTTATGGACCGTTTGTTCAACGGACGGTGAATGTGCTTTGACGGTGTGTGGGAAGACCCTATAAGTTAACTTATGTACCCTTCAGAATAAAACACACTTGAACACATTTACAACCAACGTTGTCCTTTGTTATCGCTATTTGAGAGGTGGTTAACGGAGTGTTGAGAAGGCATATCCCCGTGATCGGGCAAGCGGAGTCATTTTCTTTTATTCGTACTCTATTCATTCGCCCCGGCGGAGCCCCAGGCTGGAAGTCTCGTGTGTTCCCGCAACTGCGACATCCACGACCACAGCAACTGGCAAAGCGGCCAGCTCTGCGAGTTTGGCTGGTGATCGACAGCTGCCACAGACTCCGAAGGAAAGTGGAAAAGCTGCCAGTGAAGCGGCAAGTAATCTGCAGCCCACAGCTAAGGGGCAGATTACGGACTCCACGACTGTACAAGTGGCGGCCCTAATAGAAAGGATCGCACATCTAGAGTCGGAGCTGGTGAAGGCAAGGGCAAATGAAGGACAAGCAGAGGCCGCCAGGGATCCGGTTAGAATCGGGACACGCGGCCGGAGCTTAGAGTGACGCCATCTTTGGATGAGCAGTTGCTGGCACAAGTGAGTGCAAATTTACCGCCACAATTGAGTGGAAATTTGGCGCCGACGCTCGGCGGCCATTGGGCAAACGGGTAACCTGTTACACGGAACTGTACAACAACAACAGTGAGCTATTCTCTGCCATTTTGTGTTACCGCCACGGAGCAGCCTGAACTAGGTTATGTTCAGCCGCCACGGGAGACAACACACAATTTGAAGGTATCTATGACATCGCCTCTATCATATGGAGTGGCGACAACGAGCATACCTGGGTGGACGCCACGTAGATTGCCTGATCTTCCCGAGTTTGAAGGTCAGCCAGAGGAATAGCCAATATTCCTGTGTGCGTTCACGGAGACAACGGCAGCTTACCAGTGTACAGAATTGGAGAATAATCAGAGGCTAGTGAAAGCCCTGAAGGGTGAAGCCAGAGCAGCAGTGAAGTCGCTGCTTATCCACCCCAGAAATGTGCAAGCTGTTATGGAGCAGCTACGATTCCGGTATGGACGTCCAGAGCTACTGATCCGTAGCCAATAGGAGAGCGTGCGCGATGTGCAGCCATTCATGGAGGCTAACATCGCAAGGATCGTGCCGTTCGCCACAAGGGTGAGTAACCTGGCAGCGTTCCTGCAGTCCATCACGACCGGCAACCAGCACTTGGGTAACCCAACCCTGATGGAGGAGCTGGTCGCCAAGTTGCCTGTGAGCAAAAGGCTAGACTGGGCAAAGCACGCGGCTACGATACAGCCATACCCGACAGTGGTGCACCTGAGCGAGTGGCTTCATGAATTCGCTAAATTGGTGTGCACTGTCACGGACGTCGGAATCAAGGAGCACCCAAAGCGAAGGGTGTTGCACGCGAATAATGTGCCCGAGGAGGAGCGGTATGCAGACCGCCCCCAACGTTGCCCCATGTGTGAAGGACAACACGATATCAAAGATTGCAAGGAGTTCAACCACGCTCTTCTTCGACGATGCGGATCGAGTCCGCGAGGAAGTTGAGGTTCTGTTTTTCGTGTCTGGAGTATGGACACATAGCCCGGTTCGTCTACGTCTACGGATGCCGGATGAGGCATCACTACCTACTCCATGAACCAGCTGGACACCCCAGACGGCCGCCAGTCGCAGATGGAGGCTGCAGAAGGGATCAGCAAAGCAGTCAAGACCGGCAGCTGTACAGAGACAGCAGCCGACGGATACGAATGCCACAGTCAGTGGATTTCAACGAGAATACCCGGCCCACGCCAGCCGCAGACATGAGGAGGATGAGAGGCGTTCGACATGCGATCTCCAGGAATTATCGCACCGGAACTTGCGTTGTGTAGATTCGGATGGAGGTCACCTGCTATTCCGTATTTCCCGTGACGTTATACGGGGAGAATACGCAGGAAGACACCTACGCACTGCTGGATGAAGGGTCGTCTGTCACGCTCATCGACGACGAACTCATCCGTAGCCTGAACCTGAAAGGTGAGAGTCTACAACTGAACGTGCAGTGTTTTGGCGGAAAGTCCGCCAAAGAGCGCACAAGGATGGTTAGCCTGCAGATCAGTGCAGCGGGCAAACCCAAGAGACATGGGTTAAAGAACGTTTACAGAGTAGCCAATTTGAACCTTCCGATGCATAGCTTGCGTCGGGAAGATGTGAAGGCAGTGAAGGCGAATGCGCGCCTGCCTGTAAGGCCGTACAGCAATGCGGCGCCAAGGATCCTAATTGGATTGGATCATGCGCATCTTGGAATACCTCTCAGAACCAGAAGCTACGGATCTGGAGGGCCATACGCAGCAGCCACCGCACTTGGATGGGTGGTATATGGACCGATTCGTGCCTCCTAGCCGTGCCCCAGGATAATCTTCTGGAGAAGATGGTCAGCGATTATTTCGAGATCGAGAATTTCGGAGTGAAGCCGGCACAGCCAGTCGCAGATGGCGGCGTCGCACGGGCCCTGAATATCCTAGAGGAGACGACTACGCGAGTAGACGAGTAGTAGAGACGACGAGGTGAGACTGCCAGAGAGCTATAGTTTGGCACTCAAGAGACTCGCCAACATTGAACGGAAAACGAAGCGCGATGTGGATTTCGCGCTGGCCTACAATGGAATCATGGATGAATATGTAAAGAAAGGTTACGCACGACGACTGTAGCCCCAGGAAGTCCAGAGGTCCCAGGAAGGCAAGGTATGGTACCTGCCGACCTTCGGGGGGCCGGCAAGGTGAACGGCGTGTCACTAAATTCAGCGCTGATGAAAGGCCCACAGCGCTACAAGCCCCTCCCAGCGGTGCTCTTCCATTTCCGGGAAAGAGCAGCTGGGGTTTTTGCAGACATCAAGGAGATATTTCATCAGGTCTTGATGACAGATGCGCCCAGAGGTTCCTGTGGAGAAATGCATTGCAGTACAGCAGCACGGATCCGCAAGCGGTCCTGGCGATCAATTAGTATCACTACGTAGACGACTACGTCGACAGTTTTGCCAGTGAAGCAGAAACTATCGCCGTCTCGACTCAGGTGAGAGAAATACACGCAAATGCTGGTTTTTATTTGTGTCGATTAACTTCCAGTTCGGCAAGTGTGGTCAGTGCGTTGAACCCACTTGAAACCATCGCTAGCCTCAGATGGACCGAAGCTGAGGAGAAAGTACTTGCAATGTACTGGCAACCAGCCACAGATGACTTCAAGTTCGTCGTCAAATACCATCGAGTCCCAAGGAACGTGATGACAGGGGAACGCGTCCCCATGAAGAGGGAGTTCCTGAGCCTGGTCATGTCCACGTTCGACCCGATTGGGTTTTTGAGCTGCTATATGGTCACCGCCAAGATATTGATGCGAGAGATTTGGCGGCGAGGAGTCGGCTGGGACGAGCAGTTACCAAAAGAGTTGGCCGCAGCCTTTGAGAGCTGGCGGCAAGGAATGAGCAAGATTGAAGAATTCCGATGTCCACGCTACTATTTCGGCGCTGAACGAGTGCGGGCACTACAGCTGCACATCTTCGTTGATTCCTGTCAGTCGGCGTTTGCAGCAGTGGCCTATGGGCGGGCCTCATACGAGAGCGGAGACGTGCAATGCGCCCCGATAAGGACAATGTCGATTTCCCGTCTGGAACTTCAAGGAGCAGTATTGGGTACGAGACTGATGGACACCGTCAAGCAGGAGCACGGTGTGGCGATTAGCGGCTGCGTACTATGGACAGAGTCTAAGACTGTGCTGCATTGGATAAGTAGCACCCACCGGAGATACAAGCAATTCGTCGGAAACCGGGTGGCGGAAATCTTAGAATCCACAGAGATGTCCCAATGGAGATGGATCCCGTCTGCCGAAAACGTGGCAGATGCTGGCCGAGATCGGGCGGGGATTGGATTCCCCCGACGCCAGATGAAGAAGAAATGAAATGTGAGTTTGCTCTGGTCATGACAAATTTTAAGTCTGTGCGGAGATTCTCGAGCTATAACCGACTGGTGAGGAGCACCGCATGGGTGCTCAGATTTATTCGACGATGCCGTGGACTACGGCGAGGATCACGGGCTGAGTCGATGGAGTGCGCCGAGGCAGAGCGCGCACTAATAAGACAGTCGCAGCGAGAAGCGTTTGCTGCGGACAACCAAGGAAAGGCCGCCAAGGGCAGCCGACTGTGCGGGTTGTCCCCATACTTCGACGAGAACGGAGTAATGCGAGCCAGCGGAAGGATCGACGACGCGGCGTGTGTGCCATACAGCGCGCGACGGCCGATCATACTGTCTCACACAAAGGCACTGGCGAAAATGATTGTGCGGCATCACCACGAGAGGATGTGCCACCAAAACACGGAGGCAACTATCGGAGCGACCCGCAGAAGTTGTGGATTACGAACTTACGGAGGCTGCTCCGCAAGGTGGTGAGCAACTGCAACGTCGCTACGGAAGGCGCGCCCAGCGCAACCTGTGATGGGTCCCCTGCCAGAGGACCGGCTGGAGGCCATGGGATGGCCGTTTAAGTATACCGGCTTGGATTATTTTGGACCGCTATTTGTGACTATAGGACGTTGCACTCAGAAAAGGTGGGTGGCATTGTTTACATGTCTAACCACAAGGGCTATCCACTTGGAGATGGCCCACGATTTATTTACAGATTCCTGTATAATCGCTATGAGGAATTTTATGAGCCGGCGTGGACCGGTGGTCAGGATAAGGAGCGACAACTGGAAGAACTTTGTTGGGGCCCAGAGATTCAGCGAAGTATTTGAGCCTGCGAAGATCCAGGGCGAGCTGTCATCCAAAGGAGTCGAATGGATCTTCAATTGCCCGGCGAACCCAGCTGAGGGTGGTGCCTGGGAAAGGATAGTGCAGTGTGAGTAGCATAGTGAACTCTCGTCCGCTCACTCATCTACCAGTGACGTTGGACCAGGAGGCACCACTGACACCCAACGATCTGCTAAAGGGAGTGCCCGATGTTCCAGATCTACCCAAGGAAAACGGAGAGGAGTCAGAGAGATACGCTACCAGGAAGCAGTGGCGCATAGCTTCCGGCACCTTAGCTTCTGTTCAGTCGCTGCAATATATATATAATTCATAATCATAACAATACATAATATGTAATTCGTCAGTCGCAGCACTCTCATATGCTGCCAAAATAAAGTATCGATTACCAGGTCAAGCGCATATGTAGATTCTGCTGACGCGATGAAGTGGGATGGAGCAATAGCCTCATTCTGCATATACCATTACAACCTACATTATTCTTGCACATCAATATTTGTAACCAGAAGCATATTTGTTTCCGCATGCACTAGCAACCTACATTATTCTTTATTATTAATATTCGTAAATGCAAGCACTTTGTTAGCTATAAATATCGTTAAGTTTGAATCAATAAAGTCAGTAATCATCTGCAATTCAAAGAGATCTTTACTCCTCCAACTGCAGTCCACCTAGTTCAAGTGCTGGGTGCGACACAAACAAGGCAATTAGTTTATGTGCTATTTTGCCAGGCATCGAAGCCTACTCACACTAACAAACACTCATACAAACATTTGGTGACCCCGACAGTTCACGTCCTGCCGACAATTCACGTCCTGACGTCCTGCCGAAAATTCACGTCCTGACGACAATTCACGTCCTGACGACAATTCACATCTTAACAATCAAATCCTAAGGACAATTCAGGTCCTGACGATCAAGTCCTAAGGACAATTCAAGTCCCACGAGTCAAGTTCCCCAACTCTTGGAACAATCCTGGGCATCCTTTGAATCCTTCCACTAGAACTCAGAGTCTAGTGTGTTCTCCAAGTCAATTGAACAAGTGCTAATTTTTTAGACCACAAACGGTTGCGAAAAGGAGCGTATCCAGCTTAAAAAGCGAATAAAACACTCCCAACGGGTCAAGAATATAGCACTTTTCAACATGACTAGCATGGAGGAGCGAGCAGCCACAGAGGCGTTAGACTTGCAGGAAGAGATCAGTCAAGAGATCTCAAAACTGATCCGCAATTTCAAGAAAGATTCTGCGGAGAGGAAACAAAACCCAACATACTTTCAATCTAAGTTGGCCGCAATCGATGAAGCGTGGAATCGATTTGCGGAAAATGACCGTAATGTTCTGGAGAAATATAGAACCTCGGAATATCTAAATTTTTACAAAGACTGTCGTGACTCATGCGACAAGTATCGAAGCGCCATAACTGACGCAATGGCTCAAACTACGAGCCATGCCCAAAGAAACGCAGACGCTGCAAGCATACAGCAGCCTGTGGGCAAACTCATGTCGGCATGTCGCCGACAAAGAGCCATATCAGACTCTATCCATCGGGCTCTGAAAGAATTTTCAGAGACTGGAAAAACCATTACAAGTGATTTGATAAAATCACTATGGTCACAAGTTCAGGAGATCCACTTCGCTGTTCATGAAGAACACGAAGACCCGGTCAGGGGAGGATACGACATGCAGTCATTTCTCCGACTGGAAAGGGATATCCAAAAGGTGTTAGGGGCAAAAACCAATGCATCGAGCAATGAAGATGTACACTTACCCAGAGTTAGCATCCCCAAATTCGATGGGGATCTACTCAAATGGACGCAGTTTTTTGATTTATTCAAATGCATGGTCCATGACACCAACATGCCGACAGTACGGAAAATGTGGTATCTAAAAACCACCGTAACTGGAGAGGCAGAGAGATTGATAAGACACATCGATCTAAAAGAAGAAAATTACGCAAGCGCATGGGGCATATTGGTTGATGAATACAACAATCCCCGACACGTAGCCGACACGATTCTTAATCGGCTCTTGCAACACCACACAAATAGTGACGATCCGAAATCACTGAAAGAGTTGTATATAACAACTATCGAGTCCCTGGCATCATTAAGGGGACTAGGAATCGATGTATCCAGCTGGGATACAATATTGATTGCTATCATCAAGCAAAAATTGGATATTACAAATAGAGCCTTGTACGAACAGTCGTTGGATGGTTCTCGACAACTGCAAGGTCTCGACACAATACTTAACTTCCTCGACCAGAGAATTCGCGTACTGGGAACAGGAAAAAGAAGTCAACAAGCAAAAAGGGATCAGAAGGGGCCAACATGCACTTCTGCCAGCGCTGGAAAATTACCAAGCTGCCCATTTTGCAAACGGAATCATTGGCTATACAAATGTGATGACTTCCGCAATAAACCAATACCCGAACGACTCAATTGGGTACAAAAACAACGAATGTGTGTCAACTGCTTCAGCAGCGACCACAAGGCAAAGGAATGCCGAGGCCGTTTGTGTTTTAAATGCGATAAAAAACACCATACACTGCTGCATCTTGAAACGTCATCAGGTGCAGCAACTGAACCACAATCACCTTCTGTAGGGGCAGCAAGTAACAAGAGTTACAATCTGCTGGCCACAGTCAAGGTATCAGTAAAAGCAAGCAATGGTCAGGTGGCCACTTTCAGAGCTCTGCTTGATTCAGGATCACAAATAAACTTGATCTCTGAACGAATGGCTTCAAAGCTATCATTAAGGCTCCACGGTACTTCATTACGTATCGAAGGTATTGGAGGCAATCCTAAGACTAGTCGAGCTAGAGTAAATGTGCAAATGAAATCAATGCATAACGACTTTACTCAGCAAGTCGAGGCTTTCGTGTTACCACACATTATAGCCGATCAACCGGCTCATCAGCTAGATCCAACAAATCTACGACTCCCTCAAAACATCGCTTTGGCAGATGCAAACTTTGATAAGCCAGGAAAAATTGACATGCTTATCGGAGCTGAGCACTACTATTCGTTACTACTGCCAAACCAGATGATGTTAAAACCAGGCGGCCCGGTCCTACAGAATACTAAACTTGGTTGGATTGTCGCCGGGAAAGTATCTGCAGAAAACAACCAAGCAGCAATTTGCGCGCCTGTAACCACAGAGGACCAAATCGACACGCTTTTGGAACGTTTCTGGACTTTGGAAAACCTAGAAACGGAAGAGAAACCAAAATCACCGATAGAGGCTCATTGCGAAAGACACTTCCTAGGAAATCTCCAATTCGCAGCAGATGGAAGGTTCATAGTAAAGCTGCCCTTTTCGGAGCAATCATCAACCCTGGGGGCATCGCAGAAAACTGCAACTAACAGGTTTCTGGCACTAGAGCGCAGAACAACACCTGAAGTCTGGAAGGGTTACGTAGAGTTTATGGACGAGTATGAAAGCCTTGGACACATGAAAGAAGTGCCTCCCACAAGAATACCTACGGATCACTACTTTATTCCGCACCACTGTGTGCTAAAACCCGAAAGCAGCACTACAAAACTACGGGTAGTGTTCGATGCTTCCTGCAAGACCACCAGCAACAAGTCGTTAAATGATATTTTGTATGCTGGACCCACCGTACAGAGCGAACTGTTTGCAATTTTACTGCGGTTCCGCACTCACAAGTACGTGTTCACAGCCGATATAGAGAAAATGTATCGCCAGGTATGGATACATCCTGATAATCAATTTTATCAATTAATCGTCTGGCGAAAGAATCCATCAGACGAACTCAAGTATTATCGACTTAAAACCGTAACATACGGTACAACATCAGCTCCATTCCTAGCTACAAAATGCTTGGATTACTTGGCTGAGAAAACCAAAAGGAATTTACCGCTTGGAGCAGCCGTGCTCAAGCATGATTTTTATGTAGACGACTGTCTAACAGGAGCAAATAGCATCCCAGAAGCAGTTCAGATTCAACAAGAGCTAAACAAAATACTGCTACCAGCCGGATTCAAGCTCCGAAAGTGGTGCTCCAACAATGACGAAGTTCTTGCACAAATTCCAAAGGAAGACATAGTCAACCACGTCAAATTAGACGAAACCCTTCAACACTACAGTGTGAAAACATTGGGTTTGATCTGGGTACCAAATAAGGATCAGCTATGTGGGCGATCCCAAAAAAGTGAAGCGTCAACCATCACCAAACGAGTGGTGAGCTCGGAGGCATCACAAATTTTCGATCCACTAGGACTATTCGCTCCTGTTGTGGTAAAGGCTAAGATATTCATGCAAGGCCTGTGGGAGCTGAAGATGGGCTGGGACGACGAGCTTCCTCAACTGCTGCAAACTGAGTGGAAAAATTATCGTGCTGATCTACAAGCATTGAACAATTTGCAAATTCCACGGCACATCTTTGACGGAAAGGTGCCCATTAATCAGGAAATTCACACGTTTGTCGATGCGTCAGAGCGGGCATACGGAGCAGAAATCTATGTCCGAGCCACATATAAGAACAATCAAGTGTCTGTTCGGCTACTGTGCTCAAAGTCAAGAGTAGCGCCGACAGCAAAAGAGACGCTGCCTCGCCTGGAACTATGCGCCGCAGTATTGGGAGCAGAGCTAACCCACAGGGTGAGGAAGGATTTACGCATACCAAACGATAAGGTACCTGGATACTTATGGTCAGATTCGACTGTGGTGCTGTCCTGGATAAACGCATCAGCATCATCATATCACACGTTTGTGGCAAATCGAATCGCAAAAATCCAAGCTGTTTCAGACCAATCTCAGTGGCGTCACGTGTCATCAGCTAACAACCCAGCAGATGTACTATCAAGAGGAATTGCCGCCAGCAAGTTAGCAGAACACAATCTATGGCTATATGGACCTCTATTTCTACATGGCTCTCGCGACAAGTGGGCTCAGGTACCAACTACCACCCCCAGCGATCTAGAACGCAGGCTCAATCACATAAGCGTGCCCACATGTCAAAATGAAATTGGCAGTGTACTCTACAAGTGCAACCACAGCAACTCCTTCAATAAGCTACAACGTATTGTAGCATATATGATGCGGTTCTGTAACAAAAAAAACAGATCACCCACAACTACATTGTGTGTCGGTGAGTTAACCAATGCAAGGACCATCATCCTGCGAACTATCCAGCAAATTGATTTTAGTGCTGAATACAAACAACTCCGAATCCACAAAACATTGGACAAAAAGAGCTCGATTGTCTCCCTATGTCCTATAATCGGAAACGACGGACTGATCAGAGTCGGAGGTAGATTAGAAGAATCTAGCCTTCCATATAGCGCGAAGCA